TAGAAAATCTAGTTGATCAGGTCGATCAGATTTTTTTTGACTGATCAGCTTTCAGTACAGTATTGAAAATTTAAAAGCTGTATTAAAAAATAAATGTTTTTGAAAAATTTAGCGTTTTTCTTGTTTAAAAACATCAGATCGGCAAGTCATTATGAAGTATTTTATTAGGAAGATCAAGATCAAATTTTCTTCATTTTCTAGTTTTTGATTAAAATAATTTCTTAAATGTTCCACTCGGGGACTTTAAGTCAGAAATTAGACTAGAAAATTATTTTATTTCTTGTTCAAAAAAATCAAGCTTTTCTAAAAAGAAAGTTTAGACTATTCTACAAATAGACATTTGGTGGAGCTCAGTTCTAGTATACTCTTCATTGTGAAGATTATTATAGAAAATCTATTTGATCAGATCGATCAGATTTTTTTTTGACTGATCAGGTTTCAGTACAGTATTGAAAATTTAAAAGCTGTATTAAAAAATAAATGTTTTTGAAAAATTTTGCGTTTTGCTTGTTTAAAAATATCAGATCAGCAAGTCATTATGAAGTAATTTATTAGGAAGATCAAGATCTAATTTTCTTCGTTTTCTAGTTTTTGATTAAAATAATTTCTCAAATGTTCCACTCGGGGACTTTAAGTCAGAAATTAGACTAGAAAATTATTTTATTTCTTGTTCAAAAAATCAAGCTTTTCTAAAAAGAAAGTTTAGATTATTCTAAAAATAGACATTTGGTGGAGCTCAATTCTAGTATACTCTTCATTGTGAAGATTATTATAGAAAATCTAGTTGATCAGGTCGATCGGATTTTTTTTTGACTGATCAGCTTTCAGTACAGTATTGAAGATTTAAAAGCTGTGTTAAAAAATAAATGTTTTTGAAAAATTTTGCGTTTTTCTTGTTTAAAAACATCAGATCGGCAAGTCATTATGGAGTAATTTATTGGAAAGATCAAGATCTAATTTTCTTCATTTTCTAGTTTTTGATTAAAATAATTTCTCAAATGTTCCACTCGGGGAATTTAAGTCAGAAATTAGACTAGAAAATTATTTTATTTCTTGTTCAAAAAAATCAAGCTTTTCTAAAAAGAAAGTTTAGACTATTCTACAAATAGACATTTGATGGAGCTCAATTCTAGTATACTCTTCATTGTGAAGATTATTATAGAAAATCTAGTTGATCAGGTCGATCAGATTCTTTTTGACTGATCAGCTTTCAGTACAGTATTGAAAATTTAAAAGCTGTATTAAAAAATAAATGTTTTTGAAAAATTTAGCATTTTTCTTGTTTAAAAACATCAGATCGGCGAGTCATTATGGAGTAGTTTATTAGGAAGATCAAGATCTAATTTTATTCATTTTCTAGTTTTTGATTAAAATAATTTCTCAAATGTTCCACTCGGGGACTTTAAGTCAGAAATTAGACTGGAAAATTATTTTATTTCTTGTTCAAAAAAATCAAGCTTTTCTAAAACGAAAGTTTAGACTATTCTAAAAATAGACATTTGGTGGAGCTCAATTCTAGTATACTCTTCATTGTGAAGATTATTATAGAAAATCTAGTTGATCAGATCGATCAGATTTTTTTTTGACTGATCAGGTTTCAGTACAGTATTGAAAATTTAAAAGCTGTATTAAAAAATAAATGTTTTTGAAAAATTTTGCGTTTTTCTTGTTTAAAAACATCAGATCGGCAAGTCATTATGAAGTATTTTATTAGGAAGATCAAGATGTAATTTTATTCATTTTCTAGTTTTAGACTAAAATAATTTCTCAAATGTTCCACTCGGGGACTTTAAATCAGAAATTAGACTAGAAAATTATTTTATTTCTTTTTCAAAAAAATCAAGCTTTTCTAAAAAGAAAGTTTAGACTATTCTACAAATAGACATTTGTTGGAGCTCAATTCTAGTATACTCTTCATTGTGAAGATTATTATAGAAAATCTAGTTTTATCAGATTTTTTTTATTGACTGATCAGCTTTCAATACAGTTTTTAATATTAAAAAGCTGTATTAGAAAATAAGTGTTTTTGAAAAATTCAAAGTGTTTTCCTTGTCAAATAAAAAATCAAATCGTTAACTTAGCGTAGAGTAATTTACTAGAAATATCAAGATCTAGGTTAATTTTATAATTTAAAAAAAAAATGGATATTCAAATGTTTCATTGGGAAACAGAAATTAGACTAGAAAACTATTTTATTTCTTGTTCAAGAAAATCAGGCTTTTTAAAAACAGTTTAAGCTTTTTTAAAAGTAGACATTTGAGAGGCTCAATTCTAGTATACTTTTCATAGTGAAGATTATTTTAGAAAATCTAGTTTTGTGATCAAAAATATTTTCTTTGACTGATGAGCATTCAGTTTAGTATTCAAAATTTAAAAGTTTTGTAAAAAAATAAATGTTTTTGAAAAATTTGAAGTGTTTCCCTTGGCCAAAAAAAAATGAAATGGTTAACTTAGCATGGAGTAATTTACTAGGAAGATCAAAATCTAGTTTTCTGCATTTTATAATTTTTGATAAACGTAATTTCTTAAATTTTCCATTGGAGGATTTTAAAACAGAAAATAAACTGGAAAATTATATTATTTCTTGTACAAGAAAATCAGGCATTTTAAAAAACAGTTTAAGCTTTTTTAAAAGTAGACATTTGAGAGGCTCAATTCTAGTATACTTTTCATAGTGAAGATTATTTTAGAAAATTTAGTTTTGTGATCAAAATATTTTCTATGACTGATGAGCTTTCAGTTTAGTATTCAATTTTTAAAAGCTTTATTAAACAATAAATCTTTTTGAAAAATTTGAAGTGTTTCTCTTGACCAAAAAAAATTAAATGGTTAACTTAGCGTGGAGTATTTACTAAGAAAATCAAAACCGAGTTTTCTTCAAGTAATAATTAATTTATAAAAATAATTTCTCAAATGTTCCACAGGGAGATTTTAAAACATAAATTAAGCTGGAAAACCCTTTTATTTCTTGTTCAAGAAAATGAGTCTTTTAAAAGGAAAGTTTAGGCTATTTTAAAATTAGATATTTGGGGAACCAAATTCTAGCATTTTAGAAAATCTACTTTCTGATAAGAATTTTTTTTTTGCTTGAGCAGTTTAATATCAAATTTAAAGTCTATATTAGAAAATAAGTGTTTTTAAAAAATTTAAAGTGTTTTTCTTCTCTAAATAAAATCACATCGTTAACTCCAGCTGGAGTAATTTACTAGGGAGGTAAAGATCTAGTTTTCTTGATTTTATAAGTTTCAACAAAATGTGAACGTTAAAAATTATTTCTCAAAAGGACCATTGAAGGAATTTAAAAAAGATAAAGATAAATTTCGGCATTTACATGTAGTAATCATCAAAGTCTTGTTTTCTAGATTTTTATTTTAGAATTTTCTCAAAGGATAGTCTAGGAACTTGTACGCTTGGGAAGCTAAATTATAATATACTCTTCTTAATGAAAATTATTCTAGAAAATCTAATTTTCTTATCAGAACTAAATTTTTTTGGCTAATTTATTTAGCAGTCAATATTTGAAGGCTAAAATTTAAAAAATGTGTCTTTTTCATATTAAAAAAAAAATCAAATCGTTAACTTAGCAAATAATATACTAGGAAGATCATGATTCATTTTTCTTCATTTTATAATTTGAGAAAACTGAAATCGCGTTAGCACACAACTTTTGAAAAATCTGAAAGTTTAATGTCTTAATTTTAGTTACCACAAATAATTTATTTATTAAAATTAATAATATGTAGCGCACTTGTGGGAATCTTCTTTTTCAAACAAAAAAATCTAGGGAATTTATCTGATTATATATATACTCGTATTTTAAGAAATAAGTTTTGTTATTGAATATACTATAAAATTGTATTTTTTTTTTTCACTATATAGAACATTTCAAACAACTTCAGATGTACAACACTTTAAAAATCAGTTTTCGCCAACTTTCCCCGCCGCCTCACAAAGAGACTACAACAATGTAAACAAGATCAGTTTGTTCGAATTTTGATCGATCAGACCGACAAGCGAAAACCAAAAACGAAACCTAACTTTCATTCCTTCTATTTTAGGCAGGCAAGGTACTCGCCAAAATCAAACCAGCTTTCATGTAATTAGCGTTCGTTACTATTGTAATATGTATTTATTGTAGCCTAGGTGCCATGGCCATACTAGGAATATCTTACATGTTTTCTGTTCTATGTGAAACAAGTTTCAGGAGTTCGCCGATGTACAGCAAAATATTTGACAAAGTCAATTTTAAATGTAGGTCCCGGATTTATACACGACTGTTTTAGAAGAGTACGCCAAATCCGCAAAATCGAGGCACTCGCCAAACCAAACAGAAGACTCGACCCCGCAAGATGTAAGTGGCAAAATTTACCGAAATTCTTACTGTAACCGATAGAAAATCATTGTTTACATTGTTGGTGTAAATAAACAAAATCTTTGAACACCCAACACTGACTTTCCATTTCAGCATCGCTTCACAAGGAAAACCTGCAATAATGTCGATGTCAAAATTATTTGTCTGAGCTTAATATTAATAATCTCGTGAAATGTAACATGAACCTAATCGTTTTACCCGCACTTTGTCTGTAGTGGAAAGGAAAATCTTTAATTTGTTTCAGTAAAATTTAACATCTAGACTATTCGGTAAGTAAGACAGTAACACGTAAAGTTGAAATCATACATCATCGTCTCGTTCATTCTTTGTCCCCTCATTCCACCCAGTTGGAGAAAAGCAATAATCCGAACGATATCTCGATGTGACGTTAAACACTGCTTCTGCATGTCTTTGTTATGTTAGAATAGACTGCACAAAAAGTATCGACGATAAACTACTAATAACAAAGTGTACTAACTGACTATACATACCAGTTTTACATTTTCACGTAAAATACGAAATAATGTTTAATCCACTTTGAGTGCGAAATTTGGCTTGATAACGAGTTAGTTTTGTTAATTCTCTTATCAGTTATTTTATTTCATTATTGTTTTATTTTAATTGTTAGGAAACAGCCGAACAAGAATATTATTCCACATTCTGTGAAAGTCCTCAACATAGAGTAAGTTTACAGATGGAATTACCAAAACATTGTTCGTAAACTCACTAGTTTTTTTTTATTTTTCTACTTTTTTCTTTCAAATGTATATTTTCTTTTGTTTTGTACATTAATTATTCGACAGTATGTGTAACAAAAACGATTCTATGTGTGACGCATTACTGACGTGGCGCTGATGTTTGTTCCATAGGGAGATAAAAAAAGGGATTCGACGGGAGTAGCGAACGAGATCGTTTCCTGCACCAATTGTGGACCAAATCCTTGCACTCACACGGCCAACAACGGCTGTGCGGCAGAGGTAAAATTTACACAAAGTTCTCGTTTTGTGTCGCTGCAACTAGGATCTTTACTGCAATTGCAATGCTTTTCCGGGTTTTTTTACTAAATCCAGTTAAACGGGGATTAGGGAACGACCGGACGGAATCTAGTGATATTAGTCTAGGTCTAGAATTGGAGAGATTAAGACCGCCGGTTACGATTAACGAGGTTTTCAACCTTTTTTAGTTATAGTTACTAATTGTTCTATTTATTACTAGAAGCAAGCAATTTTGAACGATGTTTTACAAACGACTGTATTTATTTCCTCATCAGGCTGAAAGCATTACGTAAAACACAAATACTTAACTTACAGTGAATAATAAAACAGTGATAAAACAAAACGTTGTTTAAATCGATTTGTTTTGAGTGGCACACTTTTCAGTAAATTAGTAAAGGATACAAACATTGCGTTATTGTCTATTTTTGTCCATATAATGGAAACAATAATTACACCACTTGAATAACCAGAAAAACATTGAACTAAAATAAACGACACGATTAGAGTATTTATTTTACCGTCACTGATAACCATCTCATACATATTTAAAACAACACACAATGTTGTTTCAGTATCAATTTTTGGACTAAATCTTTAAATTCAAGTCGTGGCTTCGTCCTTTTCCACATCATCAGGAGATATTTTTAAACTTAAAAATAAACAGAATTAAAATAAGATGTTTTTGGAAACGACAAACAATTCAAGAGTGTCCAGTTCAAATGCGCCAAGTGCCAAAACTGAGATATTTAAATACGACTGGTTCTAAAATCAGCGTCAAAATTGTACCATTTGCAATGAACGTGGCTTGAACTAAGTAACAAAAACAAAATCGCCACCTAGTGTGTGAAAAATCCTCTTACATTAATAAAACGCGGTGTAACTAAACATCAAGCTGTTGGAAAGAACATAAATTACAAATGCGCGGAAAGCCGCAAACAAGGAAGAAAAAAGAAATAAACCAGACTTCGCGGAAATATTGCTCTCCGTTCCTTTGATACTGATATATAACCAATTCACAGTGTCAATAAATCTAGATTTGTGGCAGACTTGTACATCATGCTAAACAAATTAGTGGAGACTGTGTGTATGTAATGATCTTTAGTGTGGACAGACAAAAAAATAAGGAAAAAGTAATTTTTCGTGGTAATTATATATTTAAAGAGTTAAGGTGACGGTTTTACGACTTCAGTAATTTAAAACACTTTGCAGTTACTCTTGTAGGTGTTATTTTTGTTTATTCTTTGATTCTTCCAATAGTTGTTTTCACTTATAACAATAAACTGACTTTATTCTACCCTTTGGGTTTGAATGGATCTCTTTCCCTTGCGCCCTTCTCTTTGTTTCTACATTCCTTTTCCTGTATTCTTTTCTGCCTCTTTTCTGCATTCTCTTAGCATTTTAGTCTGTGCTCTTACTCATTTTCTCTTCATGTTTTACCGCTATTTTCGCTGTTTCTATTTTTAACTTATGTATTTTAGTTTCTTCTCTCATTCTGTATCCTAGTATTTGTCTATTTAGTTCTAATACCCAATTCAGATACTTTTCCTGCACTCTCTCTATTTTTTTTCTACAAACGGTCTTATTACTTTCCCTTTTTTATTTTCTTCCTTGCCTTTTGTTTTTCTTGTCTCGTTCTCCAATTCTAGCATTAAAGTCCCCTCCTATTAAAACATAATTCTTGTCCTTTGCATTCATTTCTTTTTCTAAAACCTTTGCACTTCCTTCCTTTTTCTCTTTTTGTATCCCCTACTGCGTCACCCATATTTTTACCAAATCCACTAAGTCGAATTCTGTTACGTATTCCTACAGGATTTAGGATTTTATCTTTCCTTTTAATTTTAACTATGTTCCAAAATAAGAATTTTATCCCTTCCTTTCTCTTCTTTGCTTATTTTTCCTTTTTCTTTTCTTCTTATTAGCAGATTCATTCATTGCTTTGTTCGTTGCCGTTGTTATCCTCTTTTTCTGTTCCTTCCTTTAGTGAAAAACTTTTAATACCCGCTCCAGGTCGTCCCATTTTTGTAGTTTCCCATCCACTGTCAATTGATAGTAGGTACCCCATTTTAACTTTTTGACCTTCACCGTTTTTTGTTTTAGTTATTACCCCTATCTTTTCTTGTATTTCTTCTTCTTTTTTGCCATTGTTTAACTAGAAAGTTCCTTCTTCCTTACTCTCTATTATAAATCTAAAAATCAATAAAAATTCCTTTTTCAGTCTCTAATTTGATGGTGAAAAAATTCTAAATTACCAAGATGTTGTTCTTCTAGAGTAAATGTTTCTATAAAAATTCACTTTCTATTTTCCGCGTCATCTAGAATTCAGAAAGAGCTCTCTTTCTAGAATCTTCACAAAACTTGCCCAATTAAATTCTTTTTTCAAATTCAAGCTTATGCCATAGTAGAAATTCCTCTGTTCCTTCTTATTATCGAAAGAAATTCTTCTAAAGCCCTTGTGAATTCCCTTTATCTAACCTCTGAAAATAATCTTGAATTTTCTCTCATTTTGAATCAATTCCAAACTAAAATCAACATTCTTTTTTTCTTATTTTTAGGAAATAGTATTCAAACTGAGATTATTTGTGCATGTTTTCATTGATGAAATCAGATTTCCGTTTCTTTATTTGTTCTTCCCTTTTTTCTTCTGTTTTACAGCCTTTTACTATTACATTATTTCTCCTTCTTCTTTCATTTTATTCAGAAGTTCTTCTATTTTTGTTGCTTTTTTCTCAGAATTCTACTTATTCGACAAGCCGTTGATTCTCATTTTAGTGGCTTTTAGATTTTCCTGCAATTCTCCTAGTATTTTTAATACTTGTTTCATTTCCACATATTTGTTTTTCGTCGTAGTAGTTTTCGGATAACTGCGGATTGCTTTCCCATTTTTTAACTAGAAGTTCCTTTTTTTTACTGTACACATCTATAATAATCCATCAAAAGTCATTTGATGGTAGAAATGTTCTAAACTACCAAGATGATGTTCCTATCAAATGAAATGATTCTATAGCAAATAATTTCTATTTTTCGAATCATCTAGGAATTCAGAAAAAGTTTCTTGTGGTCAACCCTTTCAGACAAAGGTTTCTTGACGATAGATTATTCTAAAATATTTACCAAACTTCCTTAAGTTCGCGCTTGTGCCATCAAGGAAATTCTTCTGTTTCTTCTTATTATCTGAAAAAATTCTTCTGGAATCTTCTTGAATTATATTATCTAAGTTGTTCGAACTCCCTTGAATTTCTTCTCATTTTACTACCAATCTCAAGGTAAAATCGAAATTCTTTTTTCCTTCTTTTTAGAAAATAGCATTCAAATTGAAATTTAACGTGCACAATATAACTAAAATAGCAAAAGATATATTCTGTTTCTTCCCTTGTTGCCAAATTTCAAATTAGTGTGACTTAAAAAGGACAAAAATTTAAGAAGATTTTTTTTTATGACGAAGCTGTTTCTGATTTTCTGATCTCTTTCTATGTTTCCATCGATAAAATAAGTATTTTTTTCTTGATCTACGCCTCCTTTTCTTCTTCCGTTTTCCTGCCCTTTATTATTAAATTATTTCTTCTTCTTCTTTTTTCTTCGTTGTACATTTTTTTCTCCATAGCTTCCATTTTATTCAGAAGTTCTTTTTTCGCTTGTTGCTATTTTTGTTTCTTTCTCTTCAATCTCTTTCCCCAGATTTTTGCATCTCCCGGAAGACATTATAATGTCTTCTAAATTTTTTTTATTTCCCCGAGTATTTTTAATACTTGTTCCATTTTCACGTATTTATTTTTCGTTGTACTTGCTTTCGTAAGATTGTAGATTGTTTTCCCATTATCTAACTAGAACTTCCTTCTTCTTTACTGTCTACATTTCCAAAAATCCTTCAAAAAAATTTTTTCATCTTCTAATTTGATGATGAAGAAGTCCTAAATTACCAAGATGCTGTTTTCCTAAAATCAACTGGTTCTAGAGAAATTCACTTTCTATTTTTCGAATAATCTAGGAATTCAGAAAAAGTTTCTTGTGGTTAGTCCTTTCAGAACAAAGGTTGCTTGACGATAGATTATTCTAGAATCTTTCTTTTTTTTTCAAGTTCAAGCTTATATCACAATAGACATTCTTCTGTTTCTTCTTATTCTCGGAAGAAATTCTTTTAAAACCTTCGTGAAATCTCCTTATCTAACTTCTTCGAACCGTCTTGAATTTGCTCTCATTCCAGTATCAATCCCAAACCCAAATCGAAGTTTGTTTTCTTATCACGAAGCTGTTTCTAATTTTCAGATCTGCTTTTATGTTTTCATCGATAAAATATGTATCTCCCTCGTGATCTACCTTTCTTTTTTCCTTCCGTTTTCATGCGTTTTATTAGTACATTCTTTATTCTTTTCGTTCTCTCTTCCTTGTATATTTTTTTCTACGTATCTTCCATTTTATTCAGAAGTTGTTCTTCCTCTCTTTGCCATTGTCTTTGTTTTTCTTCAATCGTTTTTCTCCGATTTTTACTTTTCCCCTAAGATATTTTACTGGATTTCTCCGAGTCTTTTTAATACTTGTTCCATTTCCACGTCTTTGTTTTTCGTTGTACTAGTTTTCGTAGGACTGTGGATTATTTTCCCATTGTCTAACTAGAACTTCCTTCTTCTTGATTGTCTACATCTATAAAAATTTATCAGAAATCTTTTTTCTTTCGGTCTCTAATTTGATGATGGAAAAGTTCTAAACTACCAAGATGCTGTTTTCTTTTTAAACCAAATGTTTCTACAGAAATTCACTTTCCGTTTTTCGAATCATCTAACATAACAATTCAGAAAAACTTTTCATGGTCGACTCTTTCGGAATAAAGCTTCCTTGACGATAAAGTATTCTAGAATCTTTACACAAGTTCCTCAATTAAATTCTTTTTTCAAGTTCAAGCTTGTGTCACATTTTAAATTCTTCTGTATCTTCTTATTCTCGGAAGAAATTCTTCTAAAACCTTCATGAATTTTCGTTATCTAACT